GGCAGCTTGCCCACAGGAGCCTTCGCCTTGCTCGCATCATCGCTGGCCTCCTCCGGGGCGGCCTGAGAGTCTCTGGCGGCCTCGCCGAGATGATCTGCAACTCCACCAGCCTTCCCCGCCACAGCAGGAACCGCCTTGGCCCCCAACGCCTTCGAAAGAGGCAAAGGTACCTTGGCGGCGCCAACTCCTGCTTTCGAAGCCATTGGCAACTTGGCCGCAGGAGCCTTCGCCTTGCCCTCATCGTCGTTCGCCTCCTCTGGGGAGGCCTGCGTCTTGCTGGCGGCCTCACCGAGATGCTCTGCATCCCCTCCAGCCTTCGCCTCCACAGCAGGAACCGCCTTGGCTCCCAACGCCTTCGGAGGAGGCAGAGGCCCCTTGGCGGCGCCAACTACTGCCTTGGAAGCCAGTGGCAGCTTGCCCACAGGAGCCTTCGCCTTGCTCGCATCTTCGCTTGTCTTCACCGGCGAGCCCTCCGCCACGCTCTTGCCCTCGACGGGATGCTCTGCATCCCCTACAGCCGTCGCCTCCACAGAAGGAACCGCCTTGGCCCCCAAAGCCTTCGACAGAGGCGCAGGCCCCTTCGCGGCGCCAGCAACTGGTTTGGAAGCCAATGGCAGCTTGGCCAAAGGGGCCTTCGCCTTGCCTTCATCCTCGCTCGTCTTCTCGGGCGAGGCCTGCGTCTTGCTAGCGGCCTCACCGAGATGCTCCTCATCTCCAGCAGCCTTCGTCTCCACAGTAGGAACCGCCTTGGCCCCCAACGCCTTCGAAAGAGGCGAAGGTACCTTGGCGGCTCCAACTACTGGTTTGGGAGCCAGTGGCAGCTTGGCCGCAGGAGCCTTCGCCTTACTCGCATCCTCGCTGGCCTCCTCGGGCGAGGCCTGCGTTTTGCTGGCGGCCTCACCGAGATACTCCTCATCTCCAGCAGCCTTCGCCGCCACAGCAGGAACCGCCTTGGCCCCCAACGCCTTAGGAGGAGGCGAAGGCCCCTTGGCGGCGCCAACCGCTGCCTTCGCAGCTAGCGAAAGCTTGGCCGCAGGAGCCTTCGCCTTGCCTTCATCCTCGCTCGTCTTCTCCGGGGCGGCCTGAGAGTCGCTGGCGGCTTCCCCGAGATGATCTGCATCCCCTCCAGCCTTTGCCTCCATAGAAGGGACCGCCTTGGCCCCCAACGCCTTCGACAGAGGCGTAGGCCCCTTGGCGGCGCCAACTACTGGCTTGGGAGCCAGTGGCAGCTTGGCCGCAGGAGCCTTCGCCTTGCTTTCATCCTCGCTCGTCTTCTCCGGTGAGGCCTGCGTCTTGCTGGCGGCGCCAGCGGGATGCTCTGCATCCCCACCAGCCTTCGCATTCACAGCAGGAACCGCCTCGGCTCCAAGAGCCTTCGAAAGAGGCGAAGGCCCCTTGGCGGCGCCAACCATTGCCTTGGGAGCCAGTGGCAGCTTGGCCATAGGAGCCTTCGCCTTGCTCGCATCATCGCTCGCCTCCTCTGGGGAGGCCTGCATCTTGCTGGCAGCGTCATCGAGATGTTCTTGATCATCATCAGCCTTCGCCGCCACAGCAGGAACCGCCTTGGCTCCCAACACCTTCGGAGGTGGCAAAGGCCCCTTGGCGCCAGGCGCTGCCTTCGAAGGCAGTGGCAGCTTGGCCGCAGGAGCCTTCGCCTTGCCC